TAGACACTACACAAAGATAGACCACAACACCGGGCACTATGTGCCCCACTCTTTTCGAAGAGTGTGTGGGTTCTTTAACGTCCCACAATTTTTATCACATATAAGGGCTTGTGAGACGGGACCTCCATTTATCGTCCCTATCCGAGAAGACTAGAACGTCTTACCATTTGCAGGTATTATTACAAAGGCAGCACTTTCTTCTCAGTTATTTAAAGACCCTGAGTGTTGGTCCAGCCGGAGTCGAACTCTCCACCTCCCGCACAATAGTACGGCGCTATACCAATTGAGCTAACCGGGAGGACTTACACCACGAACACCAGATTACAAGTCCAGCACCCTAACTACTCTGCTATGCAGCCTCCTACGATAGGCAATTATGAAGGATGATGATTATAACCGTAATGACTAATCATTTATTTAGCATCTTTTCAAGGCTGTTTGTTGTGCACCAGAGATTTGACAATTCTCTGACCACCACGCAGAATTCTCTAGCTAAATTTTGTTGGCCTGTGCCTAGTGTCTTATTTCTTCTTACAACATTACCCCAAATCACACAATAAGGTCAAGGGAAAAAAAGTTATTGATCACCAACTAAAGAAGTTCTCAATTCTTAAACAAATTCTCCTTGTCATCTCAGGAAATGTATATGGAAAAGTGTGGAAAATATGACTATAAGGTTGTAAAGGGTAAGGAAGTCAACTTGCAGCCATTTTTAGGCCAACAGTATTTTGCATCTTAAGAGTTTTACAGACCATTAGGACATCTTCCAAGGACTTGTGGAGGTGGAAGTAATACTGAAGCAAATTTTGCATCTTTAGCAGCCTGATGGTATCGCAGATGGATTGGAATGGTAATGTTTGCTTTCAGAATATCCATTCTACACAGAAATAAAAAAACATTGTTTTTAAAGTGGCAAGAGAACATTGATCCCCGGGTCACAACTTTTGTATAGTCTATAAGGGGAAATATGGCACGCAATATACAGTTGTATATCATGGTTGGAATAATTACTGAGAATGAATTTCTCAAACGAATTTGATATTTATCTCACATTGCTTCAGTATTCATTGCATTTCAACTGACTGGGATAAAATTTAGGTCTATATACTGAAAAAAAATTAACACAGGATTTTGCTTTATCCCATCCACTGACAATTAGCCAGGCATGCAATAAAAACTCCATGGTACATTTCTTTCTAACTCAAAACTGTCTTCCTAAATTTGATTGTATTGATGACAGAATTGCCTTCACATAAAGTAAGGGAACTTACTTTGAGTCAATAGTAATCTTAGGAAATACGAGCATCTCATTTGAAGAGCTATGATGAGCCAGGGCTTCAATATTTACACTCTCTTTGAATAATACCTGATGAATTATAAACACAAAATAGCTTTCAAAGTAAGGTTTCATGTAATCAGCACAATTCTAATTCCATATTGTCTTCTGATCAAGATGTCTTCATTGATGCCAATGAGTGTTTTTTCCTGAAAATACAAAAACCTTCTCAAAAAACAAAGCTTGATTGCTTTCTCTTCAAAGGAACCTCATAAGATCAAATGACTGATATATGGGTTATCATCATGCCACACAAAGCAACATGTTCATAAACAGACCACAGAAACCCATGAAGTAAAAGACAGAAAGACACTTGGTAAATATTTTACTCTCCCTCTGGCTCACTTGGAGAGATATCTCTAAACCTATCTAAGACAGAACAAAACAAAGCTGTAAGCATCATCAAGTGTATGGCATATATAAATTTATACCCTATAAAACTGTTCAATGAAATACACAACCTCGTTCCCAGGGTTTTTCATCTTCCCGCCCCCTGGATCGCTCCAGGGGGCAGGAAGATGAGAGACCCTGGGAATGAGGTTGTGAAATACAAAGGATGGCATTAATCAGCCTCACACAATTGAAGCATTTATCAAAGAAAAAGATAATGAAATAAAAATCAGTCATTTTATACAATTTAAGTATCATTAGTGAACAGTGACCTAACCTCAGGGCCACCAAACTCCACTTCATTCTTGAGCTGATCAGGATCAATGTAAACACCACTTGGAAATTTTTCAACCAGCAAAAGTTGACAATCCAGTAAATTGTAATGCTCACCAAAACTGCTTAGGATGTCCCATTTAATGTAGGTAATCAGATCTCTACAAATCAAACAATTTTTTCACACAGTTATTAGTTATTGCGAGGACTAATGAAGGCTTTCGTGTGATAATGCTTGTAAGCTTGGGAATATATACAATAACATGTTTATTGTTAGTATAAATCTTATGTATCAAATTGTTACGCCTTCTCAGCTTAGTTACAGCGTATATTTATTCATAACCCATTGAGTGAGGAGCGGGGTTGTAGAATATCAATAAATTCGGAAAAGAACGAGTTATCTAACAAAAATTCTTTATTGGTCTAACTTAGAAACAAATTAGCACGATGATTGCAGCGTGTAAGTTAAATAAATAAAACAGAAGGAGTGCAAACTTATTCAGACTGACTCGTAGCCACAGAAATGCTGCTCTTTGTAATTCCTTGACCTTTAAAAGGAAACATTCTGGCATTTGAGCCGGTTATCGGCTTAATTCGCTTTTTAAACACAGCCGGCAACTTTTGACATCTGAAAGGCAGCTTTGAAAATTCTGACCTGTGAAAGCCTGACTTTTGCTGTGTTCTTTCCACAACTGCCTGGTTGCAGATCTTTTCGCCCGTTGAACAGGATTCAAGAGATAAAACGAAAATGAAAAAAATGGATAAGAGGTTTGTTTCTCGAACAGCTCTCCAACGCATTCTACGAAACACTCGGATATGTACACGATGCTACTAAATGATGGAGATTCCCTGGAAATGTGCAGAGAAGCGTCGCGCATAGAATTCACAGGAAACCACCTGATCAAATCAGCAGGCTCAACAATTGCACGTGCAAGATGGCGGATCTTCGAGAACCTTTCGAGTTGTGTAAAGTCCTTCAAAACGGCCCGCTTGTTGGAATATCAAGACTAACTGGTAGTGAAAATGTTCTCCTTACGTTTAATGATAGAAGAGTTCTTGTTTACAACGTGAGTATGGCGAAATTTGGGCGAGAAGTTGAAGAGTGAATAACCAAGGCAAAAGTTGTCGTAATTTCTGTTGATGAAATCCAAATCTTAAAATGTACTGCTTTCTTTTTTTATCGCGTAGCTGGAACATCAGAAACTTATCAACAGCTGGTCCGTGGAACAACAGGATGAAGTGACTAGTGCTGCTGTCTATAATCCCGTCGATAAAACCTTCTTGATGGCCTTAAACAAGACGGTATGTAATCGAGCTATTTGTGATGTTTATGTATATACAATATTGTAGGAAGGTCTCAACTCACTCGCCAATCGAAAACACATCTTAATTTGTAACTAGACGAAGTCAGTATTCATGCATTAAGTGAATTCTCTTTAAACGTACATCAGGGCTCATTTAGTTAAATTTAAAGATATTTTAAATATTTGCAATGATACAGTACATGGCCACTATAGTCAGCAAACCGTTCTTTTGTCCTTTAATCACAAATCGAACATGGAGTCTTTGAGGATAAGATGACCTCTCACTGTTTCTCCTTTTACACTTGTCTTTACATGTAGGAGATTTTCATGTGGAAAGAAACTGATTCAGATTTTAGTTCATGTCAAAGAATCCAAGTAAGTTGTTCTTGTGTTTGATAGTTATCATAAATATACAATATGACCATATAGGTCACTGGATAATTTAAAAAGAACTGCAAAATAGTTTGATGTATTGATTGATCTAACAGGAAAACACCACAAGTTAATAGATTATTGGGAAGCAGAAATAGACTTGAGATCTTTTTCTTCTGAAAGAAACATTTCTTGTAGCCAAGAAATGTAATAATTTGTCACAACTTTCAATGACTACTTGATACTTGTCAGGAACAATACAAAACTGGAATAGTAACATGTACTTGGAATAATTGAAATGGTTATCTTTTATCATAATTTACATACATTGTGAGATAATTTCACAACTGGCCTCAACAATTTAAAATTAAAGTTAGTGTTGATAATTTTCTTTTAGTCTGAGAAGAATGTGTGTTGTCTCCATGTGTGGAACTATCTTGAAGTTGATACACTTGTCATGTTTGAGGATGGGTCCTCAATGTTTTTGGCTTATCTTCTTCATAATAGTGAAGAGAGAAAAGCAAAAAGGAGGAAAGCCTCGAAGTGTACCAATGAGTAAGTTTATTGTAATATTTAAACTTTCAAACTTTGAGAGACATGGAAGCCT